TCTCTACCACCTTCTGGCTCACTTCGCTAAATTTTCTTTTGCTCTCCCCTCATCCCTTCCTGCCGCTAGACTACCCCCACTACCGTCTCTATCTTCCAAATTCCTCGATACCTCCTCCCACGATTTCCACACTCCATTTATTCTCACTCTCGCATAACCTGCCTTAACATCTACCCCATTACTTTTCTGTACCTTAACCCACCTATAAATTTCTTCCTGTACCTTCCTTTCCTCCCAGGTTAGATCATTTTCAATGAATATATTTCCACCCTTTAGTTTGTACTTATTCCTCATCACTTCTTTCTTGTCCTCCTCCTCCAGTTTAACTACGGTAACCGTACCACTTTTCCTCACATTTATTACTTTACATCTTACACCTAATTTATCTCTTAAAAAATTCTGCGCCCACTCCTTCCAGTCTCTTTCTTGTTCTAAATTTATCCCTCTAATTACCACATTATTCCTTCTATCTTCCTTTTCTTTATCTTTCATCCATCTCTTAAGCTTGCCTACCTCTATGTCACTTAGCCCACCTTCGCTTACTAGGGATCTCGCATAGCTACTTCCCCCTCTGCTCCTTCTAGAAAATCTGCTCTCGCTAACACTTCTCTGACTTTGACTTTCGCTTTCGCTACCGATATCTGTCTCACCTTTCTCGCATCGCTCTAATCTATTTTCCAATTCAAACAATTTATTTTCAATTCCCTTTATTCTTTCCTCGTTTTTTCTTTCCTTACCTTTTATTTCCTCTACGTATTGTGCGAAACTTTCCTTTATCTCCTCAAATTTACCTACCTCCTTGGATATCTGTTCCCTCATTTCCTTCATTTCATCTCTCAATATACCTAAATCACGTTTCATCTCCACTTCATCTCTAAATGACACTGATTTGCCTATCTCAAGTTTACGTTGTTTGCTATCCGCTTTGCTGTCGGTCTTGCTCCTACCTACCTTACCCGCCCTACCGCTGCTACCGCTTTTATCGGTATCGCCCGCGCTTCCCGCGCTCGTCGGGATACGCGACGCCATAACCTAACGGCTACCGCTCGCTTTTCCCGGCCAAAATACGTATGAAAACGACTACCCCTAGGTCCGCCTCCACTCGCCCTTATTCAGAGCCCTCCAAACCACCTATCCACTACTCTACGCTCACTTTCGCTATTCTCTATCTTCTCACAATTCGCTTTATCACACCGCACAATCCTTCCATACATCCACTCACTAACACGCCATCTAACCAAGTCTCCGCGGAACGATTACATGAAAGCCGACGAAGTTACGGGCCGCAATGTTGATCGGTTTTCATGAGAAGGCATCTCGCGATAAGAGCCAATGCGAAAGTTGCGGCAAGGCAGGTGTGTGCAGGTGGATTCTATTTGCATGCTACGTTCTCTCAGCGCCGTTACGCCAACGGCGAGCCTGTTTACGAAGATTTTTGAAGCCGAGATAGAATCACCTCCGCAATCTCGCGTGACGAGAAAATTTACAATCTAATAGAACTTGGTGCGAAACAGAGCAGACTGCATCAGAATCAGTGAATAATCATTTAAAAAGAAGATTAATCAGAGAATTATGCAAAGTAAAAATTGTGTAAGTAACAATATATATATTGCAAGTATAATAATTTGCATTATAAAAAAAATTTTTGTATCTAGAAATTTTAGGAAAAAAAGGTTAAATCTCTCTTAAATAAAGATGTTATTTTTGAAATAACGGTCATAAAAAATAAGATGTCTTATAAAAAGAACTTTTTTTATAAAGATTTATATGTAAATTATTTAATATTCGATCATGTTTTCTCCTTTAATCACAACCAATAATTATGTTATACAAATTTCAGACATATATCGAGTTCGTAACGATTACATAACTCAGATATGCCTCTATCTCAGCTGCGAAATAGTTTCGATGCCTCGTGATATTTCGGGAAGGTGGAGAGAACGCCGGTGGTATCGAGCGTCGTCTTGAATTTAATTAAATCCACCCAGTACTGCCTTGCACATCCGTTTGGATCGGACGGGCTAGAGGCGCACATCCTAGAGAAACGAGCAAGAGCGACTAATGATTCAGTTGATTGCGAGACTTAAGAGAACTCGACGACGATGAAACTCGCGTCGACGACAGACAATCCGACGGCGGACGATCAAACGAACGAGTGGCTTGAACCGCGTGCCAAAATTCGAAATGCGTGTTCAATGTTGGGATTAATTTCTCCCTGAAACGTAATAATTATTCTAAAAGAAGGTGTGTATAAATCAGCAATTCGCAAGTTAAATGGATTTAAGAAAATCCAAAAAAGATTCTACTATTAAACGTATTGATATATTAAATAATACAATATAACATAAAAACGTCTATACTCCATGTCTAACGAGAGATCGTGGTTGATCAAACATAAATAACGATAGGGCACAGAGCCGCAACAAGGTGTTCGCGTTAAATTATTTTTATTTTTAATAGTGTTGGACAATAAAAATAGAATAATGTAGCGGTAACTGACAAATAGATACATTTAGGTAAACTTTGATTATTTATTAGTGTCTATTAATTCGACAAAAAGCAAAATAAGAGCATTTAAAATGACAATTTTGTCAAAATGACGATTAAGACGATTGTGAGATATGAAACTAAAATAATATATATAATACATTAAATATAAAATGTAAGAAAATAAAAACATAAAAAATGTAAAAATTAAAAGACAATAATAGTAGACACATTCATCAATGCATTATAATGTCCATTAATATATCTATTCGTAAATTCAAAGAAAATAATCATAATTATTTATACATATATACATACATATATATTGATAAGATTCAACATAAGAATCGTAGTTGGGACTAAGCTGAGAACAGGATAAGAATGGGACATGTCGCGAAAGTATTCTCTTTGTGCATGTGCAGTCATAAGGAAGTCTCGATCCGCGAGAATTCGGCGGAATTCCCGCCACGTTCAGAACGGCATAAATCTGACATGACTCATCCCGGCCGTCGATACGGGATCGGCCGCGTGCACCATCTGGCACAGAAATACTTTGCCGGCTATGCAGCAACCCCGAATCGGAATCCACGGAAATCTTTCCCCTCGGCTATAGAGCGGCGCGGAAGATATCCTCGCAATGAAGCGGGCACGCGGAAAACGGCTCGGAAAACTCGGCGAAACTCGCCGGTACGTAAAGATATATTTCTCAATATACGTGACAGGGGTTTTTAAAAGTCGCGACACACGTTCAACGCGATTGGTTATCACTATACGATAAAATGGTGAGGAAACTACGGGTATTATTCGAATATTGAATGCTTTCATCTAAGGATAAACAGAAAACTTAT